TTAAATACACGATTCTCCAATACTTTAGCTTGAATATTTCTTAAAAATATTTAGCATATTGCAGTATTCTTTTGATTTTTTCTGCGTAACAGGAAACAGACTAATAAAATTGCAGGCTATCTAGCAAGATATATTTATACCATTTTTAATTTTAATTAACAAAGTTTCTTTTCGTGTTATTTTTATGATGATTTTCTGTTGTTGACCTTGTTCTTGCTTGCATATTAGGGTAAAAACTTTAACATAACTAGACCAAGCAAGAACTCTTGTGATCTTTGTACAATCACTATCAACTACAATATACTACTTTAAATCACATTACTCTATTACCTCTCGGTCCGCCTATGGCGATGTTTCCTCCTCGCCTGGTATTTTAGCATTTCTACAGACGTTTTTACTAAATGCCTACTAGCGAAGAATGCAAGGGAGTTTTATGGTATCAAACAAATGATGGCATAATTAATTATTTATTGTTCTTTACACTTAAAATTAATCAACAAGTTTGGCAGTTTAAAGCATCTGAAGTTGGTTTCGGTTAGACCAAACAGAATATACTACTTTTTTGTAAATACTACTGTTGCCAAAATACTATGAATTTACAAAAATACAATTAAAGTATGTAATTTTCTCAGGCGATAAGGTAATGATTAAAAATAGTTTAAAATCTGCACCAAATGAGGATTCTTTTTAAATTCAAATTTCCTTTAACACTTTTACAATCTTCCTTATAAGCTATGTTAAAATATTCTTTCAGATTGCAAATGGTTTTTAATACAAATGAAAATGTTTAATTAATTTGCACATTTATTTTGCTTAGCTTTCGATGGTTGACGCAATTTTTATGATAAACTATTTTTGCGTCATAGATTTAGAATAAAACTATAAAAAGTGTAATCTTTAAATGTATCTTTGAATATAGCCAGGATAGTTTGCAGATAGATAGTGACAATATAGCATGCATATCTATGCAGGCTCCGAGCGGTGCTATCAACTTCCAAGTAATACATAATTCAAGACTGGCAGATTGTAGTCCTACCTTACCTCAGCAAGGAGGACTTATTTTGTGATTTTTTCAAACCATCGATGGTGGAAATAACTAGTCAGAACATTGTCGGCCTTAGTCAATAACTAGTCAGAACATTGTCGGCCTTAGTCAATAACTAGTCAGAACATTGTCGGCCTTAGTCAATAACAAGACTACAAAATTGCACTACTCTTCCTACACTCATCTCTATTCATATTTTTTCTTAAAATACCTACCTTCCTATGGTCGCCATTTCAAGTAAAAGTATTAAGTATATTGAATAAACAGTTTTAGAACAAAAATATACGTTTAATCAAATCTTAGGTCTGCTACTAAACAAACTAACGAACTGCACCATTTACATTTGGCACAGAAACCTGTTCCAAACTGGAACTGAATTCACTGTTTGCAGGTAACGGTCTGGCTAGATGAAGTAACCAACGAAAGTGTCTGGCTTTTGAGAAAACTTCTTTTGATAGCTCCCCAAGTAACATAAATCAATTTCCAACTATAAATCAATTTGAAAAATTCATATTTTTTTAATATTTTAATATGCCAATGATTAAGCCCAAAACCGGGTTTAAGGTTAAATTAAGCAAAGAATGGCCTCATATACGTTTTTCTTTGGTAGCAACCCTATAGTCTATAACAATTTCTAGTTTATTTATGTACCTGTCATTTAAACAGGTCCATAAAAAACAAAATGAACCCGGCGTATGAGTGTTTCTCAAGAATGTTAGCTCGGTTTCTATTTATGTTTTCCATTGCAAGTATTTTACCACATGGCAGTAAACCTAGTTAAAAGATAAGCTGTTCAGGTGGAATCACGCACGTGGTTGTGCCAGGAACCGAAACTGATTAAAATCATTATTTTAAGGATAATGTCATCCTACAATGTTATTACAACCTTTGATTAAGGAGGTTGGCAGTTCCTGCTTAAAAAGAAATGACTGGTTTACAATAAAAATGATAATTCAGAACTTATTTGCGCGTTATAGTATATTGTTATTGTTCTGCTAGTATTTATAGAAAAATATATTAAACTTGTTACTTAGTTAACATTATTATATCTTGTTCTTGTTACACTTTTTGTCTCCGGGTTTTCACTAATTGTGTACCATACCATACCAGATAGTTAACAAACGGAAATCTTGAACTGCCCTGTAAAAGTTAAGTTGTTGAGTCTTGACTCAACAGCAAAACTACGTTCCTCTTTCCCTATCGAATCTGTTTTTATCAAGATGGTGAAAACACTCGTAGTGAGTAAATGGAGAACTAATCTAGAGCCAGGGAAAATCAGCTGATCCAATTTTCCCTCGCCCTAAATTAGAGCTTGGCAATCGACTACTTTCATTAATATCATGGCGTTATTTTATTTAATGTTTGATATTTATTGCATTAACTACAAAAATGTTACAAACATACTGTTTACTCCATCCATAGGTTTGTTTGCATGTTAATAATTATAAAATGAACGTAGTTTGGTATTTTTGCAGGACAAAGGATTGCCGGGCAACTGTTGGCAGCAATGATGAATATTAATCTAATCCATTGTATCTGTTGGCAATACTGGTTAGCGTGACCAGCTGGCCCCGGTGTATTGTTATAAATGATTTATAGTTTAAGTGTAGGCTAATCAAAATGAACCGTAATTATTATTGGTTTTTTAGCGATTGAATCAGTACACGTTATAGTATTCTTGTTATTATGTATGTTTATCGAAACGCACTCAAAGTTATTATTTTTGCAGCGTATAGAGGGGAAAACTGCTATTTAATTATATAAAATATGGAAAATCTTTTAAGTTTGAACACAGATGTAATGAAATAAAAATATGTGTAAACTAAATCTTTCAAACCCAATTTATAAAACTATCAGTTATCGTATTTATGCAGACCTTAAAGAAAGGGTTCACCTCGGCATACAAATCCGGGACTCTGGCATCCAGGATTATGCAAATGGTGTTTTTGTCCTGTTACAGAAGCTGATTTTAAATAGGTGGTTCCAACAAATAAGAGTTTCTCCAACAGGCTTAGTGTAACCTAGGTTGTGCATGTAAGGGGTTTTAAATATTAATTACAATAGGTATTTTACTAATAATAGACACCAAAAATATGATTATCTGACGTTTATATTTGTGTAGAGTCAGTATTCTTGGCCAAGTCTTAATATTTACTTGTAATAAGGTTACCTACATAGACATAAACAGAATTTTTAATACTTTATAATGTTTCTCACTCAAACCTTAATTAAATTTATTTTATTTTTATAGTTTTATACCCTTTAGCTATTCCACAGGACAAGCAATATCTTACGGATCTAAAGAAGTTATAGAACACCACAACAATTTAGCCATGACACAATGCATTTTTAATCGACGGTACTGTTGCAAAAATATATATAAGAAAAAGATTAAATGTTTAAGTGACACTAGATGATCGTTAAAAACGTTCTGCTTTCAAACACAACGTGGAACGAAAGGTAAATGAATAGCCTGGTTTAACTTACGATACGGTACGGTTTGCATTTGCGTATAGATAGAGCGAACTACACGAAACAATAGCTACGCCATTTTTGGAATATCTTTGATTCATTTTAGTAAATTCCCCATACAGGAAATAAGCTAATTACCGTAGTACTCATGGTAAGACATAACAATAAATATCTCTACACAGACTTACTACTACAGTACCAGACCAATTGAAAAGATAAATCCGCAGTCTTGTTGATCATGTGAATGTGATTCATTGCATATGGAAAACTTCATTTGAAAGGAAAGCTAGATGTGTAGTGATGTTTTATTACAGCCCACAATATAAGACGGGTTTATGTCAGTATATGTAGGCTACTAATATATTTATATGAGTTTGCATGTTACGAAAAAATTAGGTTATATAATGACGATTCAATTACAGCCACTTTTTAAATGAAGTTAAAAGACAACTTAAAATTCAACGTATTAATGACTTAATTAAGACTCCTTTTGACGATGAAATATCTTTATTTATTTATTTATTTATTCTTTCAACGGTAACACCATTTTTACATTCGAATATACATTAAATACGATTAAACCACTTTATAAACGTAGCATAATTAGGTAATAAATATGAGCAATAATAAGAATATATCTTGTTAGTATTGAGTTCTAAACTTGAATTGAATTAGTAGTTTAAACTCAATGTAAGATTATGAGATAATCGTGCTTTCAGCCGACATGGGGTTTACCCTTTTTGACATTGGCCTTTATTTAATTTAAACATACCAAAGAGTAAAATAAGGTGTACTATTTCCGCAGTCATTTCATACGTTTTTAAAGGTTTAGTTTAATTCTGATACAAAATTCAGGGCATATTTTGGATCCAAAAGCAGTTTACGTGATCCTCTTCCACGTGGAACTCTGTACATATTTTAAGTCTTGTAACGGACTATACGTTGGAGATTTAACTTTCATACATTAATAATATGGATTTGCCTTGTTAATATATAACGACCTTTTTATTATCTTGGAAACCCATTGGTATACCTTTAAGCAGTAAAAAATCTAGATGAAATAACATATTACTATACCTCTACTATTTTATATTTTTTCAGTAATACTTTTAGGGTTGTTGTTGAGCAATGTATCAATAAAAGATAAAGTTGTGAAACGTTTCAGATGAAAATAACAATTCACATTAAGGGTTTACTTATAGATCAAAGACATTATATCCACCATTAGAGATCAAAGATGTTAAGTTAAACCTTAAGTTATGGATACTTCCTAAGCAAGGCAAGGATTTAAAGTTAAAGCGTGTGTTCTTGGTCAGCCCTTTCATAGTAAAGATCAAAGAAAAACACTAATCCGCAGTTCGTGATTTTCAACGCTACCAACCAAACATCAAGTAATATATTATTCAACAATGTTAGAGTCGCACCAGTTCCTGTGTAATCGCATGTGTGCGAATAATAGTGTAAACATGTTACAGACACTTACAATCATTGTGATTAAGACAATACAAAAAAAATACTAGTCATAATTAATTTAACTAAAAATATGTTATCGGAAGGACTCAAAAAGCATGGACTTAAAATGGATAGAACGGATTGTTGACTCTCTGATTGCCGATGAAACGCCATTATAAGGAAATTAGCTCGAAATTTTCAAAAAATTGATTTGGTTTACGAGTTTTAATTACACTACCTACTAATATCTTACTATTTTTTGATAGCTACTAAACGAAAGGTAGTTAACTTAATGTTGATGTCTATCTATTTTAATTTGAGCCGAATATTATTACTGTTACTTGCCTACAATCAGTTGAATAATATTTTTTTTTTATTTGGACAAAAGTAATTGACCAAGTGTCTTTTTAATTTCTCACTTTTTTGTCAGTTTTTTTTCTTCAAACAGTCAAGAAAAAACTTGACTTTGAACTTGAACTGGTTTTTTAGATCTTACATTTAAAATGAATGCAATTAAGGTAGGAAAACGTGGAATCCTTTGAATCTAATACATAGCATAAACATACAGTTGAGTTATACATTTAAAATATATACATACAACAGGGTTCTAATTCATAACTATACAATTTTCTGACTCTGAAACATAAAAGAGCCTAAGTAAGTAAAGTAAGTTTTACATTTGTCATAGTAACTAGTGCAATACATGAACCATTAAAATGCATACGTTTTAAACACGTAAAGCTGATGTTGGTAAATGAAAATATTTCTCGCTTTATTTATCCTGGATTTAACTGATGAAATAATGAACGCACTTTAAACCATCGAACTGAAATGCACCTGTCGATGTTTGTTTGGTAAATCAAGGCATTTCCTACTAATTAATTAGCATATACCGTTGATTCGATTTAAACACCCACAACCCGTGACCTTTAGGGATAATTTTATCAAACACATGAATTATTTTTTCTGGGTCTAACATGGATAAATAATATTTCTTATAGTATAGCTGTAATTTTCTTTATAAAATTTGTATCATGTTTAATACAATAACCTTAAACACTTGTAGAATAAATTACATATATAATTAAATGTACAAAATTATACTTATATATAAAATATTGCAAATTGGTTTATTTCATCCTATACTATTGACGTGTGGTCAAAAACACTTTTTACCTTCCCCGTAGCAGCAAACCTAAGCACTCGTTAAATCTAATGTTATTTAAATTGGGAGTAAATATGTCTTGGAAATATTTTAGTCAAAATGTAATCAGACAAGTTTAAATTAGCTTAGTCTGCAGGTTTGCTGCGGCGGGGGTATTTTCATTGTCGCACAATCTAAATGTATACAGAAAACTGGCTAGCTTGTTGTGCTGTGTGTGTTTGGCATAGCGTGTGTTTGAAATTGCTCAAAATATGTATAACATTCTTGGTTATCTAATGAAAATAGTTAGAGATAACTTGAAACCTTCTACCTAATGGTTTAATAAAAATTCTTCAGAGATAACCAAACACTTTCCACCAGAAGAACCACGGGAAAGATATGATGAGGAATACAGACAATTTATGAACTGGTACAAATAAAATAAGTGAAAAAGTATTCATTAATACTATAATGATTTTAAAATAATCTTAAAATATTGGTGACGTGACCAATTGGATATTACGTCAATTTCTCTTGCCTGCATTCCTGTATACCACAACGTCGCGTTCAATGTGTCACCGGTGCAACTAACGTATTTCTTAAACAAATACTGTGTTTTAGATTTGTAAATTATTACCTTTTTAATTTACATTATTCTTACTAGAAAACGGCGCATAAATTACATCATTACAATCAAACTACATTATTCCTTTCAATGTTTTATTTTTTAGTAATAACACATGCTTATTACGCTTAATAAACATACTTTATGCTGGTTCGTGCTAAGCATTGATGGCGTATTTCGGTCAAAGTTCTTTTTTTTTTAGATATTATGTTAATTGAGGAAAATTTTCTATACCCTGAACTAATATTTCCCCAGACATGTTATTTATTTATAGGGTATCGTTCCATCAGTATTTACTCTATGTCTGGACTGTGCAATAAAATTGTCAGTATTATGCAATCAGGGCATCAGGTTCAATTAGTATTCAATAAGAAAACGCTATCAATATACTGTGAATTCCTGAAAAACTATGAAAAGATACTAGTTCTCACTCTGTTATATAAGTAGTGTGTACACATTGGCAACTGATTGTTACTTAAGTGCATCAGTCGCAACAGAGTCAATCAACAATGGCGTTGCAAGCTGCAATCTATATGCAACACGATTGGACCTACCAATCTGTATTCATACGTTATGGAAATCTATACATAGTTAACGTATTCTGACGGTTCTAACAATGCCCGGTCTATTGAGCTTTATTACAAGTTAAAATATATACAGGGTGATTGATACTCAGTGTGACTAATCTTTTTTGTGTAAGTACAAAGTAAATGAAGTCTGATGATGCATATAAGAGGTTCCAAGTCTAAAAATTAGCTTCCCAAAGAACTATTTTATGTTCTTAAAAAATAGCTATGTTTTTTAAATTTAATACAGCAATTTCTCAATTACCTGTAAATGGATTTGGGTAGATAATGTCATTTTCGTGTTCTACATTAAATTTCTAATATGAAAAATAGAAAATGACAGAGTATCAGTAGTAAAAACTCCATTGCAAATAGATTCAAAGATAGAAATTAAGGTATTTGATAAAAATTTAAAAAAAATTGGTCTATTGAATTTTTCTACACCCTGTATACAAGAAGGTGGCCGAATATGTTAAAAACTGCACCATTTTATAAGCTTTCCAACCTTATGCTACAACATCTAATCACCCTGTATATGTCACATGTATACATATGTATATATGTAATATACACATATATACAATATACAATATATACAATACAATATTTTACAATATATACAATATACACATAGAATACACATATACATATACACATATACATATATACATGTATATATGTATATGTGTTCTAGCATACTTTGATATCTTTAAAAGTATAAGGAAATCTTTATAGATCAACTATTATGTAGAACTAGCTGACCCGGCGAACTTCGTATCGCCTAAGTTATAGGTTTCCCCTAAGACAGACCGATGGAAAGAAAGTACCGTTACGTTTAATTTTCAAGATGATCTCGTTCGCATCGCTCAATCACGTCCTGGTTGAAGTTCGTTCGCTACGCTCACTCACCTTTGGGTTGGAGCTTGTTCGCTACGCTCACTCACCTTTAGGTTGGAGCTCGTTCGCTGCGCTCACTTGCCTTCAGGTTAGCTCGTTCGCTACGCTCACTCGCCTCTCTCGTTCGCATCGCTCAATCACGTCCTGGTTGAAGTTCGTTCGCTACGCTCACTCACCTTTGGGTTGGAGCTCGTTCGCTACGCTCACTCACCTTTAGGTTGGAGCTCGTTCGCTGCGCTCACTTGCCTTCAGGTTAGCTCGTCCGCTACGCTCACTCGCCTCCAGGTTGAAGTTCGTTCGCTACGCTCACTCACCTTTTGGTTGCAAATTAGCTGTTGTCATAAATGTAAAAGCAATAATAGTGCTGCACCCTGTTGGTAATCCTTGTAACTTTAATGCTATTGAACATCATAGAACAGAACCAACTTGTTTAATTGAAACAGCTGTTAAGATTCATTAATTCCATTTCTCATAAGGTTAACATGGTAAACTCCAGAGCCACTGGGGCGGAGCCCTTTTAAGAATTTCGAAACGGGAAATAGTTTACGTCCGATTCGCATACCTACAGAATTTACACACCAAATTTCATAACGATCGGTGAAGTCGTTCCGGAGGAGTTTGCAGACAAACACTGTGACACGAGAATTTTATATATTAGAAGATTGTTAAGTAGAACTAGTTGATTGACATTTTATCGTAGCGGTGTGTGAATGCAGTACAGAATGTTGCGGTGTTTTAAATCTGCTGTAACCATTATTCATTACAGAAGATATTCTCATTTAAGTAAAATAAACATCTGATGAGTAATGTGTACTGATCGTTTTACTCCTTTTTCTGGTAGCTCGCTTTCACTTATTTACTGTATAAAATATCTCCACATGTCTCGTGCATAATTTTAGGGGCATTCAAAAACGAATTCTTTTAGTTTTTTTACCATAAATAAGCATTGAGGTTTAACATAGTATTTACCAAACACTTTCTTATAAACTCAGTTACAAAAGTGAGTATCTTTAACGGACAAGGAAACAAAAAAACAGTTTGACAGTCGAAACACCTTTCGCAATATCCGTTTGATCTGAAAGCTTCTACTGTATTTACCTTGTTGTGGTGAGCTCTTTGATAACATCACTTTTGCAGGTTGTAACCATCGTTCCAGTTGCTCTTAAGCGTAACAGTTTGTAAGTTGCTCTTACTCTTTGAGCAAATAATTAGCCCAATTTCAGCACTATAACGTATTTCTTCAGTATGCTCTCCTTCACAATTTCGAAATTACCTTTACATAATTTTAACTACTACTATAATTTTTACTGTAATTTGAATATTATTTGAGATTTTGTGTACTCCTCCAAGCCTTTCAACTGACTAGTACATCAAGCCTTGGATTTAGTTGAAAATACTTTGGCTTACTTTGTAGATTTTTAATAGTTTAAAACTCATATACTTAACATAACCTCAAAATATTTAACGTCATAAAATAACTATTGAGTACGGTAGTCAAAGAAAATGTGCGTTACCAAATATTGTACTATTTTCGAAATTTTTTATTCCAAAATAATATCTTTCCTGGCTTTTTTTTTGTGATCTCCCAAGTGTCATAGCTGTTTTATAATACCGTATTGATATTTTAATATTTTTAATGCTATCGACATTACAAATCCAACTTTTTAACCCTCTTCTATCAAACAGCATACTTATATTAAACTATGACATTTTTTAACCGGTAATTAATGTGTTACCGAATAGTTTAGTTTATAAACCATGTTAGACAAAACCTTGATATAAACATGATAACTCCTACTGACAGG